CGCTGATTGCCATATGGTGAAGGGGGATAGAAGAGAGGACGTGTTTGATGAGAATGAGTCTTCCCATCGGGTTGAGGACCTTGGAGTACCAAGCACTGAGAAGCTTATCAAAATGGTTGATGATAGGTTGGCAGTCTTCCTTATGAAGTTTGCCTTTGGTGATGATACCTCCAAGATATGTAAAAGGGAGCTTACCCTCGTGCATGTTAAGGGCTTGTTTTGCTATTTCTCGATGGGAAAGAGATGCCTTGGAGCCCATAAAGAATCTAGACTTATTCCAGTTTATGTCTTGGTTAGAGACTGCGATATATTCTTTCAGGATAGACATAAAGCGCAGGAGGTTGCGAGGTTTGGCATTAAGGAAAACCACCAAGTCATCTGCATAGCTGAGATGGGTAATAATAGGGCCTCTCCCGTGGTTAAAAGGCTTGATGTAATGTGTTAGACAAAAGTGCAACACTAGAGGGGGGGTGAATAGAGTTGTTTTCAAGAATGTACGTTTTTCGTAAAAATTATCGTAGGAAAAAAGTAAGGAGAGTAAGGGAAAGAAGAACACCGGGATTTATACTGGTTCACCACCTCGTGGCTAGTCCAGTCCTCCGAGAGACTCTCTCGAAAGTCCTACTAATCTTCAAGCTTCAATGGGTGCTTGAAAAACCGGTACAACTTGAGAACTTGAATCACACAAGCCTCACTTTCTTACAACAACAAGACTTGAGTCACACAAGTCTTAAGAACAACACTCAAACGAGATTGAGTTTACAACACAAGAATGAAAGCTCACACAATTGAGCAAAGTAGTGTTGAAAGATTTAACCTCTATGGATGACAACTTCTTTAGCACAAAAAAAAATATTTCTAACTCTCAAAATAATATTTTGATGAGGAAGATGAAGCAAAAGATGAATAGCTCAAAGAAATATATTAGAGTGCAAGAGGTGTTTGGAAATGAAGGAGAATGAGGGATTAAATAGGCTGAGGAAAATAAAGCCGTTGAAGAAAGATGATGTTCTGTACTAGAGAGAATTAATCGATTAAATTAGGAATTTTAATCGATTAAATTAGGAATTTTAATCGATTAAAGTGTACAGAAGCGAAAAGCCTGAAACGAAGGCTGAATAATAATCGATTAAATTAAGGCAAATAATCGATTAATAGGCTCTGTCCGAACTAATCGATTAATTGCTGAGAAATAATCGATTATTGTTCAAAAATGAGCAGCCTGCTGAAAAGCTTAAAAATCGATTAAAATGGAGCAAATAATCGATTAGGAGGCTCTGTCCAAGCTAATCGATTATTTTAAGAGAGAAAATCGATTAAGAATTCAAACCTGAGAAATTGCGCTGGATCTAATCGATTATTTTAGAGTAAATAATCGATTAACATGAAAATAATGCGCAAACACAAAGGGCCCAAGCCAAGTGCGATTGGAAGCCCTTTGGCTTCTAACTCGTTGTTTGAGACAATGAGAATAAAAGAGCTCCAACGATTATATCTCCCTTATTCAATGAATTTGAGTAGGGGAGAAAAAAAAGAGAGTCCAAAAATTATTTTGTGTGTCAAACAATACACGA